GGGGTGGGTGCTGCTCACGACAGAGTCGGCCTCCCGTGCCCGCCGTCCCTGGGCTGGTGGGCCTGGCTGAGCCCCAGTCCTGTGGGTCACCTCCTGGTGCCCCTGCCTGCAGACGGACAGGCTGGCAAAGGCTGGCTGGGGAGAGGGCCTGCTGGTTGGGCGGCCAGAGGGGCCGGGACCGCCAATGGAATGCTGGAAGAAAAGAAGGGGTGGCGCTATGACAAGTGTGCCCCATCAGAATTATCCTGCTATGTACAAGTTTTATTTCACAAAACCCCTTGGCCAAACTGGTAGCTTTCATCTCGTCTCTTCCCACCCGCGCGGGAGTTGAGGAACGGGGACACGCAGCCCGCTCCTCCACTGTGACCGGCCACGCAGGCCCCCCCGGGGCCATGCAAAGCCTTCCCGATGGAGCTTTCCCACCCAGATGCCCAGAAACACAGCGGGTCACGGTGGGGCCGCCCACCTGGCGGACACCACCCAGCAGTCGCGAGGACAACTCATGCTGTCCTCAGCAGCACAGATGGAGCTGGACAGGATCATGCCCAGGGGCTGGGCCAGAAGGAAGAAGAAAAATACTGGATGTTTCACTTGCCGGCGGAGGGAAGGGAGCCAGAGAAGGGCCAGGAACAAGCGAGTGGCGGCAGGCGGCAGGCAGCCACGAGCAGGGCACGCGCTGAGGGGAGGGGCCGGTGCCGGGGCTCTGCGGGACAACAGCGACTGAGACGCAAGCACGGAGCTGCGAGTGCACGAGAAGGCGGCTCTCCCGCCCCTGGTGAGCCCGCTCGGGCGGCACCACGCGAACAGGCTCTGTGGCTTCTCTTCCAGACGATCCCTTACGTGGGGACCATTTCCGAGCAGCTGCAGCCCGGGAGCCTGGTTGTCATACGCGGCCACGTCCCCAGCGACTCCGACAGGTGAGGTCGTGGGCAGGGCGAGACGTGGTGGCCCGTCCTTTGGTGACCCTTAATGGCACCGGAAGGCGGAGGCTTTGCCCTGGGGGGCCCGACGGCCTCCGTAGCAGCCCTGGCCAAGGCGCCGTGCGACCCAAGACGGTGCTACACTCCTGCTGCCACTCAGGCTGACTTCTAGGCAGCCTCGGGCCCAGGGTCAGTGCGGGCCGTGGTGGCAGCACAACAGCGCGGGCAGCCGCTGTGCCAGGCGCCTCGGCGGTCCGCTCCAGGCTCAGGCGAGGTGCCCGGGCCAGTGTCAGCCACCTGTCGGCCACAGCGGAAACCTGCCCGTGCCGCTGGGAGACGCACGCGCCTCTGCACGCCTTTTGTGTCAGAAGTGTGGTGGCTGCTAGCCAGTGCCGTGCCGGCGTGTAGGGCAAACTCGACTGGGGTGTGCAGAGCGCGCCTCGTCAGGGCCAGCTCCCCACGGACGAGGATGGTGTCGGGAGAGCAGGGCCCGCTGTTAGCCTGGGCGCGGCTCTCAGGAGGCCTGGAAACCCTGAGTCTGGCCCCACCCCTCGGTGTGCGGCCGTGTGGCGGGGGCAGGCCAAAGACGGATGCCGGGCGCCAGGCCGCTGCAGAGCTCCCCTAGAGCGGCTGCAGCTGGGGAGACGTGGCCGCGCAGACCTGTCCTGCAGGGGCGGGCCCCCACGGAGGAGGGCCAGGCCTGGGTGCGGCGGACTGGCGGGAACATGAGGAGCGGTGGCCAGATGCTGCAGCCGCCTGCCCGCCTGCCAGGCCAGCATCCACGGCCGCCCCCGCCACTCACCGTCTTTCCTTCCTTTGTAGGTTCCAGGTGGACTTGCAGTGCGGCAGCAGCGTGAAGCCTCGGGCAGATGTGGCCTTTCACTTCAACCCACGTTTCAAAAGGGCCAACTGCATTGTGTGCAACACGCTGAAAAACGAGAAGTGGGGGTGGGAGGAGATCACGTATGACATGCCCTTCACCAAAGAGAAGTCTTTTGAAATCGTAATCATGGCGCTGAAAGACAAATTCCAGGCAGGTCTGGAGAAAGGTGTATTCCGTGGGGCCGCGGGGCCAGGGAGGCGCTCAGGCCTGCAAGCTCCCGCGCTGCCCTCCTGTCCCGGGTTGGACGCACTTTGTCTAGGCCAGGCAGGAGCCCAAGTTGGGGGCGGGGACCCCCCTGTCTGTCCCACAGGGACACTCGGGCCGGCGCGCTCTGCCGGCGCCGGCATCAGTTCACGGGCAGCCAAGCCCGCTCTGATGCGGCCCACAGGGACGCCAGGCGCAGTCGGGGTTTGCAAAGCCCAGTCCTGCACGAGGTAGTTCTCTGGCCCCGAGCGCGTGCCCCAGAGGTGCCCCAGCCAGCTTGTGGAGGGGGTTGCGGCCGCCAGGCGCCTGTGGTCCAGAGGCCCGGCAGACAGGCGTGCCTGCACACAGGCCCTGCGTGCTGTCAGGTCACGAGGGTTGCGCTGCCAGTAAAGCAGCTGCTTCCAGCCTCGGCCAGTCAGGCCACAGGGCCCCTGCGGAGAGCGGCACAAAACCAAACCATGGGAAGTATGAATCGGGCTGTTGACGGCTCCTTCCCCGGGGGTGATGTCTTCTGTGTCTCCTAGGTGGCCGTCAATGGGAAACACGTGCTGCTCTACTCCTACAGGACCAGCCCCGAGAAGATTGACACGTTGGGCATTTCCGGCAAAGTGAACATCCACTCCGTGGGCTTCCGCTTCAGCTCGGTGAGCGCCCTGCATGGCGGGGCCTGGTGACGCCTGGCGCGGGGGCAGGAGCCGTGGTCTCCTCCAGTCAGAGTAGCAGTCAGGCCTCCCTCGCTAGCGTAGCAGCGTTCGCAGGTACTCTTCAGAACAGTCGGTGCTGCTCAACCCCCCCGCGGCTTCTTACCCGAGGGCCGCAAATCTAGCATGGTGCCAACCGGAAGCCCACGTCAGTGACAGTAAACAGAGTAGCCGTTTAGCGAGAGCAGGTAGTTGTGTTGCAGAAGTCCAGGGGCTGCTCCCTCTGTTCCCTGGCGGAGTCAGTCAGCGGGCGCTGTGCACCCCGGGGTGGGTTTGCTGGTGTCAGCTGCCCCACAACACGGCGCGAATGCACTCGACGCCGGAGCCCATGTGTCCACACACTTCGTGGGTTCTTTAATGTTCGCCACTTTGGTTGGAGGGGAAAGGACTGTTGTTGGTGTATTTGTGAGCCATAATTTTCAAGCCCATTTTAAGCCCATGGCAGTTCTTTAAGTGTGTTGTGTTTAGAATTCTGATGGGGGTTAAAAATTAACTGTCTTTTCTCCAGGATTTAAGAAGTGGCCAAGCATGCAATCTGGAACTGAGAGACATTAACAGAGAAAATGTAAATATTAAACCTTTTAATGCGCCTATTTAAAATACTCTTAGATGCCATGTAGATTAGGTGACAGGTGGGTGAGTTCTGAAGTCATACTTCTTTTTTATGCACATAGAACTGGGGTGCAGGCCAGAGGTGCAGGGGGTGAGAGGCTTCCCCAGAGCAGGACAGGCGGATCCACAGAAACACTGCTGAGGGGGCAGCGGGGAGACAGGAGGAGTCTGCCGTGCCCTGGGGATCACTCCATGGCCGGGGATAGAACTTGTGAACTCTTGCCCGAGCAGCCACTGCCAGCTTCATGGTGCTGTGCTACCAGGGAGGGCTCTGAGTTATACGTTTGATAGGAGGAGTTATATTTTAGTATCGATAGGCTGGGAGTAATCACTTGACAGTCGCGCTCGAGGCGCACATTTCTGTGGTGCCGACACTGTATTTGCTGTGCTCGAGCCGTCAGCCCACCCGTCCACACCCCACTCTGCTGTAAGAGCTCCACTGCTGGCTGGAACTGACGGGGGCTGACGCCGCCGAGCAGGTGGACACCGAAAAGTCGGCACGGCGGATTGGACCGCCGCGTGGGCTCTGCACAGGCCAGTTTGTCTGCTGCGAGTGGAGAAGTGAAGCCGGACTGGACCTTCCACTCCTGTCTCGGCCCCCGGGAGCCCCTGGGGACCCCAGAGTGTGCCTGAAGCTCGGGGAGGTGCTGCCAGGCCCGTGAACCACCCCGAGGAGGCTCCCCAGCCGCCTGCTGGCAGCGGCGCCCGTCATGCTCTGTGGCAGGGGCTGTGTCACAGGAGCCATTCTCCGGATGTCCTCATTTTGCCTCTTTCCCCCACAGGTCCACAATTCTGGCATGTCACAGCTTGTAAGTATTTTTGCTGGGTCCTAACATGTGGAACCTTTTATAAAACCACCCAGCAAAGGAGCAGCTAAGCCCTGGAGACAGCTTCTCTCCCGGCCCTTATGTAGCACTGTCTCCCACAGCCTAGTAGCAGAGGAGATAGCTCTAGACTCCTCGCACCCAGAACTGTCCACACCGAGAGCGAAGGCTCGACTGCCAGTCACCCTCTGACTTGCGCCAAAACACTGCCCGTCAGCTGTCTGCCAAAGGTTCGCAGAACCCGTTTTCTCGCTCCTCTGTGGCCGAGTAAGCCTACTGGAGCCGTGCCCTCGCCCTCAGTTGGGCGCCCGCAGACACCTGTCCCCACACGCGGCCTCGCCGGCTGCGTCACACCCGCTCACCTGGCTCCAGCGCTCCTGGCTGGACCTGTCAGTAGCCTGTGTCTGACAGTCTCCATCAGACCCTTCTCCTGATGTCCTGGGGGTGACTGCGGTCTTCTTCCAGACGCTGCCGTTTGCTGCAAGGCTGAACACCCCAATGGGCCCCGGACGAACTGTCGTCATTAAAGGAGAAGTGAATGCGAATGCCAAGGGGTCAGTACCACCGAGCTGCCACGGCGTCCTCAGGGCTCCTCGGCCTAGAAGGGGTCATGCCCGTGACGCTGGTCGAGGGCCCCGAGCCGGGGAGGAGGAGGAAACGGCTTGCCGACAGCCCCGGGGCAGAGCCAGTCGAGTTCGGGCCTAATGCTCAAGGCCGGCAGCCGTGGCCACGCTGGTCAAGGCCACGTTGGTCAAGGCTGAGCTCTGGGCAGCCAACGTCAGGTGGCTTCTGTTGGAAGCTCGTGATGCGCCTCATGGTCTCTACTTGAAAAAACCCTCTCCGAGGCCTTTAGCCATCGGGACTGACGCCCCGGAGCAGCACTCAAACAGAAGGGCGCATGCAAACATGCTCAGCGCAGCCATTGCGGGACCCGTCCTTGCCGGACTGTCCTGCTCCGAGCTGCCCACACCCTCTGGACAGACCTGTAACCTCAGTGGGTGTCAGCACTGTCTCCCTCGTAACCCTCACAGGAAGGCCACCCGGGAGCCCGGGCGTGTCTGTGCTGGGCGCCTCAGCCCTGCCTGTTAGGCGCACGCACAGCTCAGTGCTCATCTCTGCGGCTCATGATTCTTTTTCTCTCCAAAGCTTTAATGTTGACCTGATATCGGGAAAGTCAAAGGACATCGCGCTCCACTTGAACCCACGCCTGAACAGCAAGGCGTTCGTCAGGAACTCCTTTCTTCAGGAGTCCTGGGGAGAGGAGGAAAGAAGTATTACCTGCTTCCCATTCAGCCCTGGGATGTACTTTGAGGTAAGACTGTTCTGTCTGAAGACTGGGTAGGAGGAAGGATTCCTGGCGGGGCACCCTGGGCACCCTTCCACTGAGCCCTCGGTGTGAGTGGCCCGGCAGTGGGGTCCACTTCGTTGTTGGAGTTAATTCCACATTCTCGGAGTAACTCGTTGGCCTGTGAGCTGCTGCGGAGTGGCATGCTGGGGAGCAGCCTCGTGACAAGAGCGTCTCGGGACTGGGGTTGGCGTCCAGCCGTGTGCACGAGACACAGGCGCCTCCTGGTGGCTGCCCTCTGGTCACGTGAGGCCTCTGTGTGGCCCTTCAGGGGCCGTAGCGCAGGTGCAGTACCCAACTGGCCCTGTCAGTGCGCCTACCCAGTGCTCAGGCCTCCCTTCTGGGCAGGAGGCATCTGGAGACGTCGTCAAATGTGCGTTCTGCGAGGGCCTGGCTCCTGCTCGGAGCTGGCACCCACCAGCCTTGTGGGCAGAGCCCCTGGCTGCACGATTTTTCCCAGTTCCCTGTGTGGCCCTGGAGTCGTCGCTGCCAATGGCCGTCGCCACTAGCTCTCCGTCTTCCCGTCGGAAGAGTTAGGGTTCTGTGTGCACAGCTCCGCCCTTGGGGAGGGCCAGGCGGGCAGCGAGGCTGGGCTGCCCCTCTGCGCGATGGAAGCCTTGGGCTTCTCCAGCGTGGTCTGAACAGGACAGAGCACCGGCCGGCACTGGGGCTGTGGAGTCCAGACACGAGGGTCAGCCGGGGACAGCGCTTCTGCGCTTGGAGTTCGGGGTGGACAGCCATGATGGGCAGCACCAGCGGTGCCGCCGTTCAGCCCTGGGACCGAACTTTCCGTCGTGGCGACCCTGGCCTGCACGTCGTTAGTGCTGCAGAGCATGGGCCTGTCCCCCGGTGTGGTGCACGCACGCGTGAAGCCGCTGTCTCTCCCTCGGCAGTCCCCTCCAGCCCCTCCCTCGTGTAGCGCAAGCGCAGGAGTTGTCTGACACCTCGGATAGCTCGTGTGGGGCCGAGTGCTGAGCTTTGAAGGGGCACTTGGGAAGCGGCCTGAGACCCAGACCTGCTGGCTGGGGGTGGGCCCGGGGCTGCCGGTTAGGCGTGCGGCACCCAGGGCTCGGAATCTGAGACTGCGTGTGGCCTGACTTGGCTGAGACCCCGGGTCTGAGGCACAAAAGTAGGGATGCACATGGCCGACAGCACCCGAGGCGGACAGTTGCCAGTGGGCACTTCTCAGGGTCTGCGGCACAGAGGTGAGTGGGCCGCGCGGGCTAGCGCCCACGCTAGGCCAAGTGCATGCTGCTCGCTTTGACACTGTTCACTGTTCGTGTGCAAAAATCACAAGGCCCTGTAGCTAACGACGCTCCTTCCCTTCAGATGATCGTTTACTGTGATGCCAGAGAATTCAAGGTGGCCATAAATGGTGTCCACAGCCTGGAGTACAGACACAGGTTTAAAGAGCTCGGCGACATCGACACGCTGGAGATCGACGGCGACATCCACCTGCTGCAAGTGAGGAGCTGGTAGCAGTCAGGACTGCACTGGCTGAAATACAGAATTGCTATGTGACTCGGTCTGGGTACAATGTCTCGCCGCCAACGCGTCGCTCGTGTCCGCGGCCGAGGGGCTTGGTGACCTGGGACTGGCGCCCGGCTGCTGTGCAGCGTTGTCCAGCAGCATGAAGACTGCGCCGCGCCCAGGCCGCTTCGCCCGTCTCCCAGCCGCCTCCTGTCTGAAGCGTGAGCGCATGCTCGCCCGGTGCTGACTGCGCTGTCAGGCAGGCGCTGGCTAGCACTGATTTCCTGGTGGGTCTAATTATGGCCACCAGGTCTCCTGCTCTTAGAATCTTCTTGCTCTGCCACTGTGCCACGTTTCCCTACAGACGTCACATAAGCTCACCACGAACCTGACAGGCCACTTCCCGATGACATCACTTAGAGAAGGCACTGCTCGCGCTGAAATGACAACTGTCCACTGGGTTCTGATGACTTACAGCAGGCACTTCTTTTGCATAACTGTTTAGGCTCATGAGCATTACCGAGTAAAGCACATTATGAAATCTGAGCACAGCACAAAGATCAAAGCCAAAAGCCACCCACACCCAGCAGGGCGGTGCCGTTAGCTCTGCGGGCCTGTAGGCCTGGCGTCTGTGCCGGCTTTAGACTGTCCGCATGCAGGGAGTCACAGGCCTCCGGGCTCCTATAGAGCATTAAAAGCAGATGATTTCAATTTCTAGAATGTTCATGGTTAACGAAGCCCCGTGATGGCCATTTTAATGATAGTTTATAACGCAGGCGCTGTCAGAGGCTGCCTGCTGGATGGCCCTGCGAGGCCGAGGGCGAGCTAGCGGCCAGCCTCCCCCCTCAGAGGTTCGAGCTGTATCATTAGCAGCTGAGATTGAAACACTGTTCTCCTTCAAGTGATTAAAAGCAAACCTGTGTCAGCAAGTTCTAACTGTTGCGTTTCTGTAATTTGTTCTATTCTTTGAAGCAGGATGGCAGAAGTCCTCGCTACAGAGTACCTACAGGTCAGATCTTGTTACAGGAAATTTCAAAGGTTTGGAAGGGGACGGAAAGAGCTAACACGCAGTAATTTTATCTCCTCCATCTGCTGCGCTGAATTTGCCAAGATTTAGGAATGTTTCCATCAAACTTGGCGAGGTATGGTTCGTGCCCATATACTGAAAACACATCACCATCTTTTTAGTGCCCACTGTAGAAATTTCCAGTCTTTCTTCACATCTTCTCATGTGACTTTATTATGCTGCGTCCCGCCGGCTCCCAAAACCATGGGGATGGAGAGGGGTGAGCTAGCTGTAGACGGTGCTAGAATGCCCCCAGGTGGTGGCTATTTCTCCTTCCATCAGGACATCAGAGAACATGACCAAGATGCTGCAACTTAGGCAAAACCACAGAGTGCTTAACACCGTTTCCTTGGAGTCTTAAAGTTTCCATCTTTCTTTTACTTGGAGGTATAATTCAGGCAAAATTAATTCTTTGACCACATAAACATAAAATCTTAAGATAGTTTTTGGGTAGATGCTACAGCATATGAATGAGTCATAGCGCTGTTTCTTTACAAGTATGCAAGCTATTTCTAAGCTGCAAGTCAGCTTTCTTGCAGCAGTTCTACACAAAATTTTTATATTAATTAGATCAAAGGATTTAAAAATCAATTTGGACATTCTATGGGATAGTTCTTAGAGTCCTTAAATAAAAATGACGAATAAAAACGCCTAAAATAAAGGCGTGTATGATCAGAGTTCCTACACTACCTTCCCTGTGGCTCAGTACGAGTGCGCGTCAGTTCGCTCTGGAAGCCATACTCTTGAGATGCGCTTAAGGAGCTCGGTTACCACCCATGGGAACGTGGTCCTTTCTAACCCTGGAGGAGACCCTCCGTGCTCCCCAGTGTTTCTGTGCCCCTTCTATCTGGGGGTGGCTTTATGAACAGCCTGTTGCCCCACTAGCCCCTGCCCCCCAAAAAGACAAGAGACGCCCAGAGTCCCGAGCGGAGGACGCTCCCCCGGCCTCCCTGGCGCCACACTGCTGAGGGCCGGGGGTCCTCGCCCAGCGAGAGAAGCAAACGTGCAGATGACGTCACAGCTGAGCGCTCTTGCTGCAGTGCCGCCATTCGCTCACGGAGCACGTGGGAGAGCGTGAGCAAGGAGCCGCGGGCGCTCCGCCAACATGTCTGCTACCGCTACAGAGCGGGCGAGCCCGTGCCACACCAGTCTGCGTAGAGAAGCCACGTGTCCATTGCTTCCTCGTGTCTGCACAACCGGCAGCAGAGGCTTACGCCAACCAGGCGTCAGGGTGCCAACAGTAACATGGTGCCGGGCACCTGAGGGTGGCAGTGAGCACGGGTGCTGGGCGGCGTGAACCCCAACTGGCCTCAGAAGTAGCTCTGGAGCGGCTCGCCCAGGATCGTCTCCAGCTGCTGAATCGTCTTTTGGCACTGACGTTCCACCTCTTCACACTCGTCTGAAAGGAAACCCAAATTCAGTGAGTCCTTCGGCAACTTCTCAGTCAAGAACAGACAGCACCTCTTCACACGCTTCTGTCGCGCCTTCATTTCCCTCTTAGTGGCTGAGTTCGGGAGGCTGCCTTAGAGCCCCGAAGCAGCATCACACAGAGCCGCGCCTTTCAGCTCACAGGCCCCCTCCCCCCCCACATAAAAACCAAAGCAGAGGCCTCCCCAGGGGGCAAAGGGGTGAGTCCCAGCACCGCAGGACCTCAGGGCGCAGCAGCCCTCCTGTCTCCCGGCTGCCCCCTCAGCAGTGGGTTTCAGGGGATCCGTCTGTTCTGTTCCCCACTGTGTCTCTGGGGCGTCCTCTCACTCCCTCCTTTCCTGTACCCCAGTTCTTGTGTCCACAAAAAAATCGTAAAGAAAAACCACCACAGCAGAACACAATCTGCCAGATAAGCCCTGAACACACGTTTCCTTGCCCCCTGCCCCTCGTGGCACGGGGGTGTGCTGTCACTGCCGGGGCATGTGGCCCACAGAGCACACCGTGCAGCTGGGCTGTGCGGACCAGCAGCTGCATTCCCGGCACCCCGTGACCTTCCAGAATATTCGTTCCTCTTGAGTTTCTGATTTTCTCCACTGTATAGCAGGGGAGGGGCAGACACCCTGCTGGGCACCTGACGCTGGCCGCCTTGTCCGTGCCTGGGCTTCTCTCCTTAACCCGCCCTGGGAGCCAGATGCTCCACTGGGCTAACAGACGAGCCGAGGGGACCAGCATTACAGCTGCTGCCCACTGTCACGACAGCACACGGGAGTGGACAGTAAGAGCACGCGGTCAGCAAGGCCTCAAGCGGCCGCTGCCCCTACCAGAGCAGGTGTCCGGCCTCCTGTAGCCGCCCCAGCTGGCCGCAGGGCACGGGGCCGGGCCACGCCTCGCAGTGCCAGGCCCGGTGACGCCAGCGGTGGCATGCTCACCGGGCGTTCTTTATGCGTTTACTGCAGTGACTTCTTAATAGCCCGGGAATTACCTTCCATCAGTTCAGCCAAGAAAGGAATGGATTCTGGTAGCAAGACAATGTAGTTCTCCTTCAGTTTTTCAGCCAGCGCTAGCACGGTAATCAGAGCAGCAAATCGAACCTGTAAGGAACCAAATGTAATGAGGACACAACACCCCTGTGACGGGCGTATGATCTCGACCAGCGTATCTGGAGACAAACCCCGGCTTTCTAAACTGAGCGTCACTTCATGAGTTCATTTCACCTGGCGCCCAGCTTTGACTTGAGCCTACCAGTTTCTTTAGCAACCTGGGATCTGCATGATACGACATCCTTGTAAATCAAGTGTTTTTCAAACTTGTCCCAGGACTAAATTTGACTTTTCTAAGTACCATTTTCCTGAAAATATAAAGTGCGCAGCAAACTCAAACATGTCGCCGGCTTTCTGGGCACCAGCGGCCACGCCCGCCTTGCCCTCAGTCGCCCATGCGGCACACGGCCGCCCCCCAGTACATGAGGCGCCACGCGGCCGTCACCTCCACACTGGACTGGCGCACACGCCCAGCGGCCACGCCGCGCAGCTGCGGGAGCCAAAGGGAAACAGAGATGACCCCACTGAGCTCTCCGTGGCCAGGAGGGCGTGCGTCTGCGACGGTTCGCAGCCAAAAGCGCTGGTCGTCTTTCTGCTTCTGAACAATTTAAGAGCATTTAGACAGAGCAAAGCAACTGTTGTTAATCCTACCTCTGTGCAATCATAATTTTCTTAATGATATAAATCAAAATACAAAACGAGTCTAATGCTGCTCCTGAACAATCTATCCCATGTCTGGGGAGGTTCATCACAGTAACCCCATTGCTCTTGTTATCTCCTAATAAATGCCAATAAGTCAACTAGTAAGTCACCAATATCCAGTAAGTAAGTAAATCGATGGACATAATTCTGCTGGACCCACTATGGGGTGTGAACCCCCAGTCAGGCTCCCCGCGTGCATCCCCCTCCACCACTACCGCTCACCGTTTGTTAGCAACAAGCCCCTGGTGTACAATCCCCAGCGGTGAGCAGGACACCCCTACCGCACAGGGCTGCTCTGCACAGGTCATGTCTCTGGGGATGTGGCGTTCGCGTGGTGCGTTAAGAACACAGGGAGCTACTTTCGGTCTCTTTAAGATCCAAAGGCACTCAGCAGTACCAGCCCCATCCAGCACCATGCCTCACACATGAGGGCCGGGAGATGCTGCCACTTACCCGTGGCCTGTAAGTGAAAACCCAGCACCGCGCCGGGGGCGTCTGCCTCTGCCTGGCCCCGAGACAGCAGTGACACCTGTCCCTGCCAGCCCGTGGCGGGCCTAGACCCATGGCAGCTGCAAGGCCGTCAGGCGTCAGGTGCACCCCGGTCTGAGCGCAGCCCTAACCTTGGGTGAGGAGTCTCTCGTCTTGAGCAGAATCTGGTAGTTGAGTGGTTTCCAGAGCGAGTCGTCCGCCATGGCCACTGAGAACTGAGCAATGCACGGGATCAACTGCCTCGTCACCCGCTCCTGGAACTTCTCTTCTCCTCCCAGCCTGTTTTCCAGCTATGAAGAGTGAGCAAGAACTTTCAGCAGCAGGTCTCACCTCCTCTTCGCGTCACAAAATACCCAATGTGTGAGTGCTTCACCACCCGCTTCAAGACGTCAAGGCTTAAGGCCAGCCGCTGTTCTGTACTGTCTTTAGAACACAGGCACCACACCAGGGGACGCCAGCGGCCTCTCGGCCCCGAGCTGCACCCTCCATCTAGGAGAACAGCTTCCAGAGGGAGGCGGGGTCTCAGTAAGTCCAGGTTTAAAAGTTAAAATCTCAACCACTAAGCAGACGTGCCGAGTTAGCTCACGGAGAGCCGGGTGCAGGCGTGTGCCGTGTGAAGGTGCTGAGCACCAGGGTGGCCGTTCAGAGGCCCGGAGAAAAGAGCCCAATGAAGGGTCCTTTTAGCAGATATAAGCCTGCAAGAGTCTAGGGGGCCACCCCCCTTCACCACAAGATGCTTCAAGCCGGTTACCTGGTCCACCAGGGGCATCATCAGGGCTTCTGCGCGCTCTTTACTTACAAAACGCTGGGTATCAAAAAGGAAGATTTTATACAGACAGTTCAAGATAAACTCTAAGAGCAAGCAGCACTTTTCAGGGTCATTTTCAGAGTCAAAAAATGCTTCATCTGTAGATAGGAGAAGAAAAAAGAGAAAAAATGAATCTCACAACCTAGCTGCCACTGCTCACACTATTCAGAGCCCACAGTTGGGCCTCGCTGGCAGCGCGGCGATTTGAAGCACAGCACCTGGAAGCTGGCCACAGCCACTGCAGCACCAGTTCGATCCCCAGCCAGGGAGGGACCCCAGGGCCAGCAGACCCCTCCTGTCTCCCCACTGCCCCCTCAGCAGTGTACTGTCAGTCTGCCTGCTCTGCTCCCTGTTCTGTCTCTGGCGAATCCTCTCACCCCCTACCCCAGTTCTGTATGCATAAGTGAATCTTTCGGGGGAAAAAAAAAAAGACAAGCCCCACAATCAAGAAGGCTCTTTAAGTGATCCTGAAGTAGTTTATCCAGATGAAGACAGGCTGCAAATAAAACGACAGTCTCTCTGGTAAGCAATTCCTGCTTTCAGGACTAAGAGTTCCAGGGTTCACTGCTGAGTCTGACAAGCTCAGTCACCAGCTACCAGTGAGCTGCTCACGGAAGAACAAGCAGCTGTGACGCGACAGCGGTGCACAGGCATGCCGTCTGCTCCTTCCAGGTGAGTCGATGCGTTAATGACACGGCGTGGTGCTGGCACATTTCGACACCCAGCAACTGACTGTGAGGTAAAAAACGCATCCTCCACAGCCTCAAGCATCTTCCAGATCTTGCTCTCACTCATTGCACCTTGTGTGTAAGGCGCACATGTCATGGTGTTGACGGAAATGGAGTCAGCTACCAACCTGTTTTGGAGATGTTCACCTGGTTCAGGGTATCAGCAAAAGGCTTCACCAAGTGGCCCGCAAAGAGAGTAAAAAGCCCTTTCAGCTTCTCAGCGATGCAGTCTGCCAAGTGGCAGAAGGTCAGCAGCCTGTCCTTGGGGGCATCTTCTGCTTTAGCCCAGTCAAACAGCTAGAAAACAAAGCACAGGCGTGTCCATGCCACACCCTGCTGCTCGCCTACCTGAGCACAGCAGACAGGGAGGGGAACACCCACCTTGAAGAACAGGGGTCTGAACGTGACTTCAGAAAGCTTCACCACCATGGCCACTAGACAGTCAATGATACAATTCTCTGTTTTTCTAATTTCTTCCAGATCATTCTGAAAACAGAAGAGCCAATTTATCAGCCAGAGGACAGTCATCTAGCGCTAGATGATTTCTCAGGTTCAACAGGTTATACAGCGAGACTTTTCTCTGATGCTGAAAAGGTGACTTTAGGGTTCGGGGAGTGGCCTGTGCTCACCTCGGGGTGCTGTGCTCGGAAGTCCAGGGCTTCCAAGAAAAACACCGTGAGCTGAGACTGATGGGAGGTGAGCTCTTCCTTCTTCATGGTCCCGATGTGGTCTCGCAGGATGCTCATAAACGGGCCCATGTGATTCTGCCAGACACAGCAAAGAGACAAGCTTGTTATCTTCTGGAGCCCAACAATGCAGTGCAAAGGAAAAAGGAACCCCATTCTTGAAATGAAAATTTCAATGCCATGTCTCCCTTCTCCAGAGGCGAACCCCCTCGAGGAGCTGACCTTCCAGTTCTTCTCAATGTGCTTGTAAGTCCTGTTGACGGCTGGCAGAAAGACTCGGGAGGAGAGCTTGGTGGCCAGTGTCTTCTTGACAGACAGGAGACGGACGTTGGCCTGGGAGGCAGTACCCAACTCACTGGTGATCTTCTCCAAGTGAATCACCTAGAGCGTCAGAACAGTGGCCACGGTCACGTGGGCGCTCACTGGGAACATCACCGCGCGAAGCCGAGTGGTGGGCCCGAGCTCAGCGCCAACGCCTCTAAACCAGGTCCCGTTAAAGCCAAGCCAGGAGTCTGTAGGGAAAATAGGCCGACACCACTTCCTCCACCTGGAGCCAGGATGTAAGAAACATGGAGGCAACGGGCAAAGGGCCCTGACTGAGGCTCCCTCAGCCCGGGAATCGGGACTGGGAGAAGAGCCTTTCCTGGGACATGTTGACTCCCGGGCTCTGGCTGTAGTGGGAGGCTTGGCGACAGCATTGGCATTAGGTCACTTAGCTTCAAATCCCGCCAGTGGGGAAGTGCACAGCAGGGACCTGACTCTGGGCGCTTTCTAGTCAGAAGGCCACGTGCCTCGTGCCTGCTGCTAAGTAACACTGAACTGTGTGCAGGATTCTGCCTTCAGAACCAAGAAACCTTTTACACTAGAAGCAAAAGCTACAAAAATCGCTCCAAGACAGTTCTAGCAGCCTAACTCCAAACACGTCTCAGCAGGAAGAAAATCAGTAACTACATTCTGCAAAGTGAACAAAGAGCCTCAAGAAGAAGTGATGCCCTGACCAGCGTCCCAGTGAAGCAGGAGGGACGAGGGGTAAGGACACACGCTTCACAGGACAAGGACGCCAGAAACGCTCTTCCTGTGACGGCAGCTGAGCCCTGCAAGAACCAACGCAAGCGTGGCGTCCGTCATCTCCCTCCCCGCCGCCCACTGTGCCATGGCCACGCTGGTCACCTGAGTCAGGACGCCGTCCAGGTAGGGGCTGATGAAGTGGGGCAGTGTCTCCACGACCTTCTGCAGGGCCGCCAGGGCGCTGAGCAGATAGATCTCACCCGAGACCAGCTCGCTGGTGTTCCTCAGGATTCTCAACAACGCGGGCATCAGGCTGGAGAGGAAAGCAGGCTGGAGATGACAAACCCTGCACGCCGCCCTTCCCTCACAGCCACAAAACACCACCCAGGCTGCTGTGTCTGAGCCCCGTGCCGCCAGGGCTGCTGCGCCAAGGCGTGTGCCGGGCCGGGCACTGGGGAGTCTGCTCGTGCCTGACAGGGCCCGCGGGGCCGTCTCAGCAGCCCACCACTGCCACCGTGAACACCAGAGGGGGACAACGGGCTGCGGTGGTGTGGGGCTGTGGCTGCCAAGTGGGGCCCCGCGAGAGTGTCCTCTAGGGCTTCCCAGCCAGCACCGCCAAGGAGAGTGAGCAGCAAACATGAAGGTGCTCTCCAGTCTGGAGGCAAGGCCGTTTCTTCGGTAACGCGTTCTGTGTAACTTGACTTAGAGGCCAAAGAACAGGTCCCTGAGCATCTCCACTCCGCATCCCACCAACCTGCTGGCGCTGCGTACCTGGGGAGCTGAGGGACGGCCCGCGCCTCCAGGGTGCTGGCCACCTCGGCCACACACAGCAGGGCACTGCCCCACACGTTCTTGTCCTCCGTGGTTTGCGGAGAGACCAGTTTCACCGCCGCGTTTAGCACCGGGACAAAGGACTCCGGACGCTCGGCGCCGAAGTTCTTGCACAAAAGCTTTAGGGTGTACAAAGCTGTCTGCCTGTTGACTGCTTGCTCTTCTAATGCCTTTTTTTTATGTTGCACAATGGCCAGGAGAACTGGAATCAGTTTCAGGAAACGGAAGACCTAGAGGAAAGCCAACCCAGATTAAACTGACAAAGCGACGCTGACCTGCGTGCCCGCTTGCGCTGCGGCCGCTGCGTGGCCATCACGCCCACCGCGACTGCTTCACTGCTCGCTTACCGCGAAGCAGGCGTGTGCGGGCTGCTGCTTCCTTTGCAGTTTGGGGTAGGACAGGGTAAGAATGGCACTTAAATTAAGGCAACACGTGGTCCACAATAAGCAGAAGTCCGTCAGGCTTACAGAGGAAAATCCCACCCACAATCACACGCAAAGACCAAACTGGGGGATTTAGCCACGGACCAAGACTGGCGCCCTGCGGGCGTGTTCAGGGGACCGGCCATGCTCGGACTGCGGCTCGGGACATTGCTAGAGCAATGTACAGATTCAGTGGGGTCCGAGGCAGACTCAAACGCCACTCTCACAGAAGTAGCCAGAACAGCCCAACACTTTTCTGGGACCACGAGGCCTCAAGAAGCCAAATAAGATTGTGTGCGCGGAGAGCGAAAAGCTCGCAGGAGGTGCCGCGCCCAGCCAACACTGCTGCAGGATGTGGGTACCAGCGCCGCGCAGTGCGGCTCACCAAGGCGCAGGGACCCTGCACGGAGCGGAACCAGCGCCGGCCGGGCGCTGTGCTCAGACCCTCCATGTGGGGCCAAGGATGTGTGGGGAGAGGCCGTCTCTGCACCTCAGCAGACGGGGTTGGTTAGAGAAACGGGACAGACCCGCGGAAGAGCGAAAATGTGCCAGCTCCCTCACAGCAGCCACAAAGACTCCCGCAGAATGGGCCGGCAGCCCCATGACCCCGGAAGTGAAAGCCCCGGGGGAAGCCAGCACGCTCCCTGGCCGCACTGTCCCCAGCGACCACCCCAAACACAAACACCAGGCCGCTGCTGTGGCCTGGCACTCACGCAGGCTGTGTTCTAGCTTGACAAGATAAAAGGGTCATCTCAGCAAGAAACAGCTCTCCTAGAGGCGGCTCTAGGCCCAGCGCGGCGTCCCATCCGGTAGTGCGCGCTTGGCGAGATCCCCGCACGGGAGTGTGGGGGCCGCAGGCGCGCGCGCCAGAACAGCCTGGCGTCCTCACTTACGAGCTTCTTCTTCCAGGACAGGTTCTGCTGCAGCTTGTTGTTCAGCAGGTCCAGCGCTTTACGGCGAACGGATGGCACCGGGTGAGCCAGCAGCCCTCTGACCACAGGAACGAAGGTCTCCGTAGGCAGCAAGGCGTTGACCTACACAGCGATATACGTTGGGCACACAACACCAGTCAGACACTCGCTAACAAAGGGGCCAGCTCTGCTCTCAGTTCACCACGTGCTTCTAGGTGCCCGGGACCTCACGTCCAACCCTGCTGCTGCCTGGCGGCCAGCGCGAACCGCGGCCTCAGGAGAGCGACAGACCCGCAGCGGCGCGTGACGTGCTCACGGCCAGGCGCCCCCGCAGGAGCCAAGCAGTGCCCCCGTCCGGTCAGACGCAGGTGCGAGTGGGCTTTCTGTCCCGGGACGGGGGCGCCACGCAGCGCCTTGCACCAACACGGCAACGCTGCCCGCGGGGCCGCGTCCCGCTTGTGCTGAGGGTCATTCCTCGCCTTTGCTTCCCCCAAACCAAGTCTGAGCATTTGTTTACTCGTGAGAGAAATTCCTTCTTACACGAACGCTTTGTTAAATAACCTCACGGCCTGACAACCGCAGCAAACGCCAGCTGGGGCGAAGCCGCGCCCTACCTTGTCCAGCAGGTCGTAGGCTTTGCTGAGGAGCGCGCGCCAGAACTTGCCGGTGAGCGTGTCGGCGTTCCTCTCCACGGACTGCGCCACGGCGTTAATGTAGCTCAGGACCAGCTCCAGCAGCCTGTGCACAGGGAGCTGCGTGAGAGGCATGTCCGGCTCTTCCGGACTCTGACAAAGTTTTCCGTGACTTCCAAAGCGAAAGCGAGAAAGCTACTGTACCTCTGCTCAAGGCCCGCGAAGACTTGAGGCCCACCACTCTCAACCACCTGGATTTCAAAGAAGGACGCGTCAGGGAGCAGGACGAGTCAACGCCCCCCAGGGCTGTTCCCGACATCCACAACTCAAGGGGCTCGGACCACCCCCTCAGGCCGTAGCAAGTCAAACTATCAACTTCACGCAGTGTCAACCTCCTGCTCACGCAGACAAGCGGCGACACCGCCACGACAGTGTTCTCCACCCTGTCGCGGCCGCCGTCTGTGTCTCACACCTTTTCTCCTTTCCTCACCTGTGCCTGTATTTCCATTTTCTCACACTTGAGACTCAACTCACGCACAGGTGCACAAATCACACCCGCACGGCTCACTCCCGAGGTGGGCAAAGAGCCACCAGGAGCCGCAGGGCCCGTCTCTAATGAGCCCCGAGTGCCCTGCCCCACTGCCCCAAACCGCCACTGGCACCGTTCGACCACCGACAGCCTCGCTTGCTCGGCTTCCTGCTCCCGGGCCGCAGGCACTCTGGTGCCGCCTCCTCCCGACCATCACGCTCGCCTCACGACGGGATGCCAAGCTCCCTGACCCAGCCTGGCGACTCTGCTAAAGTCACAGTGCAGCCAGCAGCTGGGGCGCCACATGCCCCGAGGACGCGAGCGCCGAGCCTCAGGCTCTCCTGCAGACCCGAGCAGCGACCGGCAGCTTCTCAGTGCACAGCACTGTCTCTGGCCTTGGTGAAGAGCAGGTTGCATCCCCAGAGCCACCTGCGGGCACTCTCGCCACCTTACAGCAGCTTCCCGACACTAAGTAGTGTCGTTTTATCATGAACATTTACAGAAACATCACCTTTCTGATAAAATTCTCGGAAGCCAGGAGCTGAGACATGAAGGACACCGACAGGAACTTCAAATGCCGCAGCTGCTTGCTGGTGTGAGTGTCGACGTTGAAGACCTGCAGCGTTTCGGTGCGTGACTCACTCCTACCAGACACTGCTCTGGGGGTGGTTTCTGGAAAAGAGCAATGCCACTGTTATCATTCATACTCATCTTCAACCTCAACCTCCAGGCGTGCCCTGAGCGAGGTGGGGGGGTGGTGTTGATGACAGGATGGAACTTTCACCTGGTGTCACTATCATACCCAGTCTCTCTCCTAAATTAGTGGGAAATGTGAATCCACACACCAAGAAAGTAGCCAACAGCTCCGAAACAACAGCAGGGCTACAAGAAACCAAGGAAAACCCAAGCAAGCAAAGGGAGCGACGACAGCGAACGCATCATGAAAGGTGCCGAACAGCTTGACGCCTCGGGAGCAGCTGGAGCGTCCCCGCTAGCTGGCAGCGCTTTACCCAGAGGCCGAGAGGCACGGGGCCCGACTCCGTGGGGCAGACACCTCCGGCCTCCGACGCACAGGGCCTCTGGCGGCGGTGGGACCCACGGCAGGCCAGCGAGGAGCGGCCACCTCAGGGAGCGACTTGGACGCCTCACTTCAGCCGGCCACACCGTTCTCGGGCTCCCTGGTCTGTTCCCGCTGCCCAAGTCGCCTGCAGAGTAAGGCCCCTGGCCTGCAGGGCCAGCGCCGAGCATGAGGCCATGGTCCCAGTGGGTGCCGAGCGCCCTTTGCATGCACTTCGCTACGCCCGGCAGAGGACTGGGGCAGCCGACCCTCCCCGGGGCACTGGCACTGCCAGGCATGGGCTGTCCTCAGCACTCCCACCACAGTGCTATCTGCTGCCCAGAACTATTGCGAGGGCACCCACGTGGGGTTTTCTCCTATAAATGTCTTCAGATATTTTAACGAGAAGCTAGGAGCCAGCCAACACGGTCTGTCAAACTGCGGTCATTTCACCACACTGCCCCTGGACAGGTGGAATTGCCACGGCAGCACTGAGGAAGGCAAGCAGAAGGCCTACTCGCTGCCTCCTAAAGGATGAGAGAGGCCCGCATCATGTGCACAGATCAGAAATTACTCAGCTTATCACGGTCTTCTAAAGCAGCACCAGGGGTTCTCAGGGAATCTGCACTGTCCTCTGCTTCTTCTGGGTGTCCAGACCAAACAATAATCAACGTCTGAGTGAGCTTTACCTTCTTTTTCCTCTGGCAGCTCCATTAAGTACTGGAGGATGTTCATCAAGCTCTGTACCTGGTGCTGGACACTAAATTCACAACAGACTGAAATCCAGAACTCAGTGTCTGCCTCTAAGACGGCATCCTGCAGAGAGAAGTGGAACAGGTGGGAAACCGTGGCTATGACACGCATGTGTATCAAATAAAGGCCACTCCAGAGTATGGTCAAGCGTGTCACCAGGTGAACGACGCCTCCACGTAAAAGCCAAACGCCATGAGAAACATGACGGCGGGACCCAGGACAGCTGCGGGACGCAGCCCCTTCGGAGGCACTGGGCCCCGGCCTGCGTGAGCTGCCCTCCCCCCACAGCAGGCTCTGCGGAAACACAGCCCCCATAGACCGGCTCGGGGCACGGAGGTGGCTCCCGTGCCCAGGGAATGCCCTCCGGGCAATAGCTAGACTCCTTTACGGTCAGGCCTCTGCCGGGCTTAACAAGAGCCATACGGCTGGCTGGTGCCGGACCTGAATCTTGCAAAAGTTGAATCATTCCTGGGTCTTGTGGCCACCAATGACAGCAGAGTGCCTGGGGGCCCGGTGCCTTGCGCCAGTCCGAGCCGGCGGCCAGTGACCCGCAGAGCCAGCGGAGCAAGGCTCCCCGACACCGAAGGGCTCCCTTAGCTATGAGGGACGCCCCGTTCCCCCTGCGCCCTTGCACCGACCTTGTCCCCGCCAGCAGCCACCAGCGCGGTCTTGGTGACGTACTGCTCGAAGAGCAAGATGAGCAGCGCCCAGAGGAAGCGCGCGGGGCCCAGCGTGTGGGTGAGCTGCGTGAGCACCGGCAGGCGGCGGTGCTCGGGCACGTGAGGCAGCGCGTCCACAAACACGCTCAGGATCCGCGTCACGGTCTCCTCCACGCTTCTGGTGACCTCCACGGAATCGCCGCTGTCAGACTGCAGGACAGAAGGGGGCAGTGAGGAGCCGTGAGCGACAGGCCCTTACACAGGCCGACGGGACCCGTCACGACGGCGGCTACTCAGGCAGGTGCCCAGCAGGTGCCACGCCGAGGGGTGTGCGCAGGGCAGGACTGAGGCCCACTGCAGAGGTGAGCGTGCCCTTGGGAAGGAGAGGTGCCCGCGGGCAGCCAGCAGCCAGCACCCAATGCTGGCACCGGCTGGCAGCCGTCTGGGAGGCGACGGTCAAGCCTTGGTGTGGACAGCAGGCCAGCACCTCATAGCAGCGTCGGGTCCCTCGGACACTGGGACCGCGCTGGAGACAGCTGCAGCGAACGCGGCTGGCCCGGCGAGGCAGAGGCTGGCGGTGTCATGCCACGTGCGGTGGAAACCCACACGTGTCCTGACTGCCACCCCCAGCTCATCACCCCGGGCTCCTCGGGGCCTGGCTGCAGAAGAGCCCCTGCAGGCCCTCGGCTAGCCTCAGGGGTGCGTCTGCATTTGCCCCACCAACGTGCCCGTGTGGCTGTAGCTAGCGAGAACCAACTGTGCCTGCTGAGAACAAAAACTAACCGAACGGCGCCCTCGCAGCATAGCCCGCGTCAGACGGGGCGGCCGTGCCGAGTGAGGAGCGCGCCCTCCGCTCCAGCCCGAGCTGGCCCCCGAGACCGGCACACGGCCACATGCCCAGCCAGGCCTTCTTGCGCTGCCCACAGCCACTGGTGAAGCCGCGCCTCTCCCACCAGGCACGGTCCTCCTCCTCGTGAGGCCGTGTGGTGGGCGCTCCGGGCGCTCCCGTGTCTGTGTTCTGCTGGCACAAGCCCCGTTACACCGCACAGCTGTTTCTCGTTACAAATGTCCCCTGGGCTCGTCAGGGAGTAGGTGGACACGACAGGACACAGCCCCGCCGTGCGCGCGCGGAGGGCACAGGGAGCACTCTGGCGGCGCCTGGTGCTCCCCAGTCGGGGCCGTGCAAGCGTCTGCGGAGCTGCTAGAACAACATACTGGCCCCAGTGGTGCGAGAGCCCCAGCACCACGGGCCCACACAGCTCTGCCCTGGCGGCCCCGGCTGGCTACGCGTGCCCTGTGCCAGCAAAGGCAGCGCCTGCAGCACCTCTGACGCAAAGAGGCACAGCACTGGCGTCGCAGGGCTCCCACGGCCGCTCGCTCACTATGTGACACTCACTACCTCAACTACGTGACATTCTAGCAGCTAACAGCAGAACAGCAGGACAGCTCACCTGAATAAGTGCCGGGATGACCATTTTGACTGTCTTGTTAATTACTTGAAAGCTGTAAGTATCATCCAGACGCATCACACTGGCTCCCATAAATGTGAAAATCGACATGATGTTATGTAGCACTTTGTCCTGAAAGAAAAGAAATCTTTCAATACTAACTTAATAAACACACCCAATGTCAGTAATTCATCGTAGCTCAGCAATAAAAGGCAAAATCATGTAAATGTGGGCCAGGGTTTGTGAAGAAATTTCTCCAAAGATAAGCAGTCATTCAATAAACACAAGACGAGACGCCGACATGCAGGAGGAAAACGCAGAGTCAAGGCATCACTTCACACCCGGCAGCCGCAGTGGAGGACAGGTCACTTCAGTGCCGACAGGGCCACGGCAGGCAGAGCCTCCTCCGCTGTGGCAGCTGTGAAAGCCACCAACTCTGGAAAACAGCCTGGCAGGTTCTCAGAAAGCTCAAGATGAACAGAAGTTCGCATGACACACAAATTTCGTCTCAAGGCACGTAAGAGAGAACCGAAAACCAAGGAGCTGTGTGAGCGTGCCTAAAAAACCCGCAACAGCCGAGCAGAAACACCGCCCACGGACGGGCGCGTGCAGCGATCGCGCAGAGCGAGGGGCGTGAGGCGGAGACTGCGGCTCACGTCCAGCGGAGATGAGCTCGTGAGCATCGCGCCTGTGAGCGGTCGCCACGCGAAAGGCCACACGGGCAGACAGCCAGGGGTGTGGACGGTGGCCGCGGGGAATGATGCCAGGAGTCTGGGTTCTTTGGGGTGATGAGCTGGCTTTGAGAGGATGTACTGGTGGTGCTCACACTACTTCGTGCATTTACTAAAGCCGCACAGTCGTACACTACAGAACAGGCGAGTTTTATGGAATAGGAACTACATTCCAATAAAAACACCAAAAATACTTCTGGACCAGCAACGTCTCTGAGAGCCACTGACACACACATAACCTCGCACTTCATGTTAGCAGAGTGAAACCGCTAGGGTGACAGTTTTAAACTCTTCAAAAGACCGCTGTCTTCAGCCTTGCAAGCAGGCCGGAGTCCTGCTCACCCTAGGGCTCCGGTCCACTGACCGCGGCCGGTCGGCTCCCGTGCATTTCCATAAAGCTACGGGAGAGCCGGACGGCCAGTACTTACAGGAAATATGCTGGCAACGGTGCCCAAGAGTAGCAGGGCGTGGTGATGGGTCTGAGGCATCTCCGAGACACGGATGCACTGGACGAGCAATTCCACGTTGAACTTCTCCTCATCTAGAACATCTAGAGGGACGGGAAAAAACCCTCTCAGTGACAGGTAAGTTCTCACGCAAAAACAGAGAACTCTTCCGGTCTCTAATCCCCACAAAGTACCTTTTGGTATTTTGCCACCATCTGGAGAGAGCTTTTGGCAGATGTTGAGCAAACAACTGAGAATTAACTGCTTGGTGTATTCCATACTCCCCTGCTCTGGTGGCAAAGGCTCTAAGCATCTTCAGGACCCCGTGGGGAAGTGACAGGCAGCGAGGCGTCCAGCGAGGTTGGTGACGCGCAGTCCCCGTGCAGCAGGTGCGAGGGAGAAGAAACACCCAGTCAGACATTTCACCCATGGGCGCCACGGAGGAGCCGCGCCCCATTCTGTCTCCTCACCTGGGTGGGGGCTCACCTCTGCCCCCCATTGCCTTTTCAGGAACCGACTGGGAATGATGGAGCAGCCCTGGGAACTACCCTTCCCCTTAGAGCAAAGCCCTCACCCGCCGTTACAGGGCATGTCCGGCAGCCGGCCCCACCCTGAAGACACAGCCAGCGCCACACTGCACTGCAGCTGCAGTGGCAACACCCAGGACACGGCTGTAAAGCCAGGAAGAACGTGAGCTGGCGGGCGGCGTGGTCATTCAGTACGCAGGACAGGAGGGAGGCTGGCGGGGACAACAGGTACCTAAAAACTTCTCTGAATCTAGTATAGGCTTGGCGAGCTTTCTCTTAAAGACTCGTTACAAAGAGTATGCTGAAGAGAGTGCTAAATAATAGACAATGGGCAAGAATTCAAATCCTGTCCTCTCAGCGACCTAAGGCAAGCGTGTTACCTCGACAGCAGGCTAAAAAGAGTTGGTATCAATATCTGAGGATTTTTGAGTTTCTTTTTGTGCTGCAGCAATTCTAGGATGAGGGTTACTCTCTGCCAGTAAGAACCTCCAACTTCCTGAACAGATTCCAGATCTTGTGACTTTCTGAGAGACAGTAAGACACAAAATTGGAAGGTCGAACACAACCGATGCTGAATAGAAATGATCACATGATTATACCACAGTGAAGGGCACCAAAAACGTTCCCATTACGTTCTCTTACTTCTGTTGCATTTTCTGCCTTCTCGTTTGCTGAACTGTGCCCAAGGACTTAGTTTTATCTCGTGGCTCCAGTTCTATTCTGACTTGCTCAGCATCCACAGAAATCTGAAAGAGGAAGTGTGGCTGAAGACAGAAATCCGGGGGTAAAGCAGAGCAGTGAAGTGGATTAAAACACGGCCACTGTATCGCTCCTTCAGCCTCTTGTGCTCAGTCTCATCCCCAATGGCATGCTGCCGGCCATCCCACATTTTGGGGGGACATCTTTTGTACGCACAAGCAGGAGTGTACTACACACGGTGCCGGCCAGTAATTTGCTTCATGTAAAGTACTGTACAAGTCTAAGCACAGACATTAAAGCTTGGAAGCTGCTATATCTGGACGAGGACATCACAATACTATGATGTGAATGTGCTTTCCTACACACAGATAAAACCAACCACAGCGTAACTCATAACTCTCCCAGTGTTTCCATTTACATGTAAATCACTGGGTAGCACCGTCTTAAATGAAGACGAAGAATCTGTTACCCAGTAAACAATCAGCTGACACACATTCATATTCCTTTCATAAAGCAGCCTGTAGATACCATCTAAGATGAGCAAGATCTAAACTAATATGCACATTCTTCCGGACGAAAACATTACTGCATACTACAAAAATTGTGGCGATGATTTATCATTTTGATTTTGGGCTTCTCTACGACCTTTTCCATGATTCTGGTTAATGGAGGCTGCTTAAACATGACGTTGTTTAGAAAGTATCAAATTATAGTGCAACTTACCCCTTTAAACACACTACTAATAGTCTGAACACAGTGTGAATTTTTGCAGTTCACTAATAAGTCAAACAACATGCACAAAAGCTTCTGCTGAACTTTTTCATCCGATATAGCTGCGAAAAAGGGCTTTGTAATCTAGGAGGCAAACAAAAAAGTCAATTGAGCTCAATGAAAAATCTAGACTTCAATCTTTATATCATTCTCTTTCAATATAAAATTGTACCCCATTATGTCGTTATCAATGCACTTCTTTTAATGACCCACGTGCATCACTGGTTTGTGAAAGAGCACATTCCTTTGAAACAGCCACTGCTCTGTCTTTATTAAAAAGAATGTTACAAGGCTTGAGTATGCTTTAGCTTCTGAGAGAAGTCGCTGACCTTTTCGAGGGCCGTGATCTGAAGGGTTGGCATTCCCGCACAAAGTTCCTTTGTTGTGTGCACAGCTTTCATGAAGAGATCTAGACTCTTGGGGTCCTTATGTAAAAGAGAAGCTGAAAATTCATTGTATTTTCCCAGAATAAGTTGCAAAACAATGGCCTCGTCTTTTAGGACAGCTGCGGGCTCCTTCTGGACCTTTCCTAGTAGTTGCTCAGCCATCGGCAATAGCTGGGAAAGCGCCATCTAAAGTGGGGAAAACCCGTCAGCAAACACCATGCACTGACAGCCGTTCACCCAATCACGGCGCCCAAGCCCCTCTGATCACTCTGTCTGAGACGATCCAAAGCTCCAACCCTTTCAGAAATGATTAGATAATCTGAACGCCCCAACCCTTTTGGAACACAAAGTAAGTCTTAACCTAGAACAGTGACTTTTACTTTTCCTCGACAATGTTTCCAATTTGGTTTAACCTATCAATTCAAGGTATGTCTGTGGAGTCTAAGCCATAGCACATGGGCCAAATCTACAGCACCGTCTGCGCTTGTGAATTCCGGTTACTACCGCACAGCCACGCGCTCGCTCACATGCCATCTGCAGCTGCCTGTGCAGCGAGAGCCGAGTCACTGCAGCAGACGGCAAGGCCCGCAGCGCCTGAGACCCCGACTGGCCCTTTACAGAGCAAGACTGTCGGCTGCTCCGAACTACACCAGGGGTGACACAGAGTGGACAGGTGCCATCGCCCTGCTCACATCGAAAAATGTAATCAGAAGTCCTCCACCGGACCCGCTCACTTCTCCCAGCTGCACTACACTCGAGGCTAGTAGAAACACAGGATTTTTCGAACACCAGAACTTTTCTCTACTGACCAGCAAGTACCATCACTTTACTGACACTTTCACGATTTCTTTGTTTTTGTATCACGGGATTCCCTAGCAACATGAGGGCTATGGTTGCCCCCGGCAAAACGTGCAATCACATACGCCCACAGACTCTTACCGCGAACAGATCAGACAAAACCCAACAGTTTTTCCAGTAGTGTTTTTCCGAATTATTTTAAAAATCCACTTTAAATCAGGTTAATTTGGGCTTCCCTGATGGCCTCAGGGATACGTCTCATCACGAGTGAGGAGGGCCTGAGTTCGATCCCCGGCTGGGAGCTGACGCGCCCGGTGCAGAAGCCCACTCCTGCTTTGCCTGCCACTCCTCCCCAGCAGATCGAGCAGGTCCGCCCCTCTAGTCCCCACTGCGTCTAGTGGCACCTCTGGCCTACACCCCAGTTCTTCTATGCAAAAATGAATGACATTTTAAAAAAAATAAGTTAATTCAACAGAGACAACACAACTTTAAGATAGAAATAACTCGCAGATCCTTCTTTTTTGGTCCTTTATCTTTTTCTCCACCTCAGCTGTCCCCGCTCCCACGTCAGTAACGAAGGCTTACTCCTGAGTGCATCTATGCAACTTGCAAATGACTTCTTCGCACACGAGCAGTTGAGTTCACACGAGCACGTGAACACCCACTCACATACCTCACTGTTGACTTCCTGAAGGATCTTCATCAAGTCTTTGGCAATGTAGCATGGGCTGCTATATACACAACAGAGCAGGCTTTTCAAAGTTTCAGACAGCTTCTGATGAGATTTCACTTTCTTCTCCTTTTGTAGTCCCTCAAATAAAGTAGCCAGATCCTAGCGTGAAGAAAAGAAAGCTGGGCTGGAGAAGCGCTCAGGACTTGCAGGGGTCAAACATGGAAGATTCCTTCCCAAATGTGACAGTGCTTGCAGCTCCTCAGCGGCCCCTGGCGCCCTAGCGGAGGCGCACTCACCGCTCGCTCAGCCCGCGATGGGCAGCGCTGGCCCCGGTGAAAGGCAGCAAGAGCAAAGCACGAGGGGTGCTGCTCCCGAAACCCGAACCCGTGCGCAGCCTGACGCGCCTACCTGAGTGACGTAGGTGGCATCTGAGGTGATCTCCTCTGCTTTGGGAACCAAGTGATCGACCACCAGCTGAAAGGGGGACGCCACCCCGCCGAGCGCCTGGAGACAACACACGGCAGCCCTCCGGACCTCCTTTATGGGGCTTCCCGTGCTGATGAGCAGAGCTGTCACCACTAAAGCCCAAAGGGAGAACTGTATGTGATAGCCCAACAAACTGAAATCGCACAAAGCCAAGATAACATCAAAGGCACATGGCTGAAACTCCCTCTCTGAAACTGTTCCCTGTTTTACTGCCCCAGAACTGACAGTCTGCTACTAGTATATTTATTCAAGAATACGCAAGTCAAGGCCCTCCCTGGTGGCGCGAGGGGTTAAGTCTCAGCACTAAGAAGTTGTGCATAGCCACTGCAGCACGAGTTCAATCCCCAGCCAGGGAGTGACCCACAGGAGTTTGGAGTAAATAAATCAAGACATCTTCAAATTTCCCTAGGGCTCCTCTTAATTGTCTCTCACTGTGGATTAAAAACCTAACAGCTTGAAGTATCAGCCATAATCCATCATACTCGTCAACTTTCTCATCTTTTTTTTTTTGACATCTTCAAATTTCCCTAGGGCTACTCTTAATTGTCTCTCACTGTGGATTAAAAACCTAACAGCTTGAAGTATCAGCCATAATCCATCATACTCGTCAACTTTCTCATCTTTTTTTTTTTTAAAGATTGATTTATTTATGCAAACAGAACTGGGGTACAGGCCAGAGGTGCAGGGGCAGTGGGCGGCTCAGGAGAGGTCTGCTGTGCCATGTGGGTCACCTCCAGGGCGGGGATCGAACTCACACTGAAGCAGCTTTGGCTTCTTAGTGCTGTGCTCTAACCTGCTGTGCCACCAGGGAGGGCCCAACTTTCTCATCTTTAATCACTATAAGGCCTAATATTCATTTATTCACAGCTCTGAAAACAAGTCAATCCATCTTTCAATATTTGTCAAACTTTTATCTTTTGTAAAATCTATAGTTTATTTACAATTTTCCTCAAGGCATGCTACTATTTACTCCTGAGGCCTGGGTGTCTCATCACGAGCCTCCGACCTGAGGATGACTCACACCTGAAGCAGGAGTTACAGCTGCAGCAGCGCCTCTGAGCCAAGTAGTCAGCTGGATGTTGGGTCATATTACAGTGACTGGACAACATAACCCCGTAAGTGCTGAAGCTCGGAACATAAAAGATGGGTATTAAGAAACTATGATACGAAGACCTCTGTCATTTCTGTTTCTTGCAGTTAGTAAGGAATGGCATTGACATTTGCAACTTAAAAGCGGTACTAAAAGCGGTACTTACACGCAATCAAAAACTAGTTTGTGAGATGTGAGCGAGAATGAGCATGATCTTTAAGTTTCCTCTAATTTTTAGAGACTAAAACCCAACCCCCACCTGCGCCCGCAGAAAGCGCGGCAGGGCATGACAGGCTCTCGGGAGCGCTGGGTTACCTGGGGAAGGCCAGGAGGCCAGCGGAGGCCGACACCGTGCCTTTTGAGACAGCACCGCGCACCCCACGTACAGCGCCTGCGTCTGCAGCGCCGTTTTCACACAGCAATTAAGGGGGTCTGAAAGGCTAGAACCATAGGTCCACAGCACACACAAGAACTTCAGTAACTGAGCAACGTCTCCAAGATGCACCTAAAAAACACAAGAGTAGCTTAGTTCTCACTCCTGTATGTTGGTTCCACACCCTTTCCACTAGTGTATAGTCACGGAACAGGGATGATTCATACACTGTTTTGCTTTATCTAATCACTTCAAATTACTTAAATGACTGAAGGACCGAAGTTCGTCCAGCGGACTAACACTCCGAGGACATCCGGGGATTCGGCACCTGACTGCACTTAAGGAAAAGCGGGGACACTGTGCAGAAACCCAGACACAGCAGAGCGGAGGTGGCCTCGTCAGGAAGGGCGTTGAGCAGGAGCAGCGTCCACGCCGCCCGGGGCTGCTCCTGGGCGCAGGAGCCAAGTCGTGCATCCCTGCCTGGTGGCGCTGAGCTGCACCCAGTGACCGCGTCTCACTGGCAGTGCCCTTCCAGCAACGCCGGTTCGCCACCATTCTCCGGTGCTCACGAGGCCACTCTCCTCTCCATTATGGACCATCCTAGCGCAAAGAGCCTGCAACTTCACGGCAAGGAGATGAGCCCTGTACCTGCATGAAAAGCTTCATCAGGAGCCTGAAGTGAGCGGCCTCAGCGCCACCGAGCAGCATCTCAAACAGCGCCACGAGCAAGCGCAGGTAGTCTCGGCCGTCGTCCTGCAGCTGCTGGGGGTCCCACCACGCCGCACCTGCAGGGACACGAGGGGGAGCCTCAGGTCAGGTCTCACGCTGTGGGAGCTGCTCGTGGGCACAAAGAGCGGCTGTGAGTTCTCCAGACCGTCGCACTCTGAAGTCACTGCTTACCCTACCTCTAGGAAAAGACGCAGGAGCCTTTAGTGCGTGGATAAAGTTTTTCAGTGTGAACACAAGTAAGACAGAGTCCTCCACGGCGACCCGCTGGGCGGCGTGCAGCTGCTCTGTGTAGTGCGCCCACAGCTCTGCTGGCATCCCTCTGTCTGCCATCAGCTCCAAGTGCCACTCTGCGGGTATTTCCTGAGGGGAGAACAGGAGCAGAGAACATGAGCTCAGCGGCCTGAACACGGGTCACACGGTGCTTCCTGTACCCCGCCCCTGAAAACAACTACTACTCATGCAGACTGCTCGGCCAGTAGAGTAGGAATAAGCAGTCACATCCCTGAACAGGAAAAAGAGGAACTGAATTCCCACGCGATCCTCAAAGGGACCTTCTTGCGGTAAAACCTCCAGGAAACCTCCGAAATCGAAGGTGATTCTAAACCAGTAGCAAAACACTGAGGGAGTTGAGTTTCGTTTGACTCATCAAAGAGGCGGTGGCTGCCTGGGAAGCCGCCCTCAGGTACAGGACACCGTGGCCCTAGGATTCTACATTCACTTCAACTTGTGGGACCGGAACCGGGAACTACCTGAGCCCCACCTGCTGCGACCCGAGACGGCTTTACTTGCCCTAACGCCCGGAGCCACCCGGCACCCACCCTCAGCTGTGTGGTGCAACCAGGCCAGACCGCTACTGTGCTCCGCACGCGACTTCTGGAGACTCCCGCTTACCACTGCGGTGATCACGTTTTGGAGCTTCTTTATTTTTTTCTGCAGCAAACTGAAGACTCTTATTGCAAAGGGAAAGTGCGTTTCTTTCAAAGATGAACAGCAAGCAACAAGCACAGCTGTGATCACATGAGAGGTCACTTTCTGCTTCAGGGTGTAGGACTCCTTTTCCCCAACGCTTATCAAATCCTCCACCTCGAAAAATAAATACGTTCTATTACCGGTAGCTCTTGAGCGGCATAAAAAATTTTCTCTGCCTCCAACCCATTCTATGTGTCATAATACAATGAAAGTGAGACAACAAAGAAAGTCTTAGAAATGTAAAGTGACTTCAAAGCAATTACTTATAAAAAGCAGTAACTGCAGAGATGTTACAGCTGTAACCATTTGTGAGTGCATGTTTTAAAATTACGGATCTGACACCTTTACAGAGGTTTAACCACCAAGGCACAAGAATTATTTCCTCTGTTCAGTTGTAGTTGGCTATTTTAAGAAAAAAATAGGACTTTCATATTTTAAAAGGTAAAAAAGTTGAGGAAGTACCAGTTCAATATAAAACTGTAACAAATAAATGAAGTAAAATTAAGAACTTCAAACATGCAGTATACAATGAATATATTGCACGTTTTAAGTATAACAGAGTTCTCTAGAATACACAGAAAATTTTTTTTTTTTAGTAAGAATCTAGCAAAGTGAATGTTGTGAACAGAGTAAGATTATGAGACGGAAAACCAGGGGTGAACTAAGCGCATACCTACCATCTTTAACATAGAAGATGGGTCCCCCGAATTTATATTGCTAGCCAACAACTCGATCATCTTCTGATTTGCTACACCAATTAATTTCCCTGACTTTGTGCTTTGAATTACATTTTCAAGAGCTGTTAAAAAAAATCAAAACGAGAGGTCCCTTTGTTACCAACACTCTCACCAAAGGAACTGAAACCGAGTAAGGAGTTTAGGCGACAATTTTACAATTTTTCTATGAAGGTTTCCTTTCAATATTTCCTTTTACCCAATTCTGACTTTGCCTGTAGGCAGCTCATATCATCACTGCAACACTGCTGAGGGAGCAGCCGGGGAGAGAGGAGAGGCCTGTCGCACCACACGTGGGTCGCTCGCTCCCTGGCCAGGGATAGAACTCAGGCCACAGCAGGGACAGCACTGAGGCTTAACTTCTAGGCCACCGGGGAAGCCCTATGCCCTTTTATCTTAGAAATAATTTTTTTAAATCGTGATGACATACAAAGACTTTCTAATAATATCTATAAGCAATCCTTAATTGTACTCATCTTTTAAAGTGTTACCTGTTCACTTTTTCTAAAAATAAGCAAATTTCTTACCTTCTTTCCAGCCTTTTAATATAGGATGCAGCGAGCAAATTCCTGATTTGGATAAATATACAGCCATTTTCAACTCAGCAGATTCCTTATCATCTGTACTGATGATCATAAACGGCAACAGCTGCACAGCCACCTGATTGGACAACTGATCACTCCCACTCAGGAGTTCTTCTTTAATTAATATGTCTGCTGCGATCTCAAGCACCTTGTACCTAGAAGAGATGTAAACACATTTGTTTGAGACACGTTATACACTTCATTTGGTCAAAACCATCACGTTATTTCAGCTCAACTGACATTAATTACCCTGATCTTATGACACACATTGCTGGTATGTGATAAAGGGGTCTAAGACATCACTTAACACCCATGCGAGGAAGAGTGTTATTCAGGACAATCCTTTTAAACTGCTGACTACATCAAAAAAAATTTTTTTTGATAATTAGGTTAACTATAACATAAAACATTTACCACACTGTTTATTTCTACCTACTAAAAAATCAGTCACTCCTCAGTCCAGAAGTATTGTGTGAACAAATTTTAGGGAATAAGAACAAAGTATGAGGTACAAAAACCTGTGAGACACAAATGACCTCCTCCTCCAAGTTTATCATTTTTCCATGCAAAAGTTCAGGTACCAAAAATGAAATAACCATAGTATAGTTCATCAAATACTGACTAAAGATATTGTGTGCTTTTGAGCTTAGTTTTTGTTTAATATATTTGCTTTAATTTTAAAGTAATATACTGTCCGTGTTAAAAAGAAAATCAAATATGCAGAATTATATAATTAAGGCTCTTATCATCCTATTTCCCAGATTTCCGAATACATTGTAGATAAAATATTATTTCCCTATTTTATTTAGAAAAAGTTTCAAATATAGGAAATGATATACTGAATCCATAACAAACTCAAATTAATTATCTTTATGACTCCTTTCATAACATCAGTTACATCTTGATCAAAGGGCCACAAAACTACATTCTAAAGTTTAAGAATGTACAGAAAAACAAAAATCGAATTAAACTAGATGATATTTATTCAACTCGAACTGGAGGAGAAAGAAGTACGTACCACCCTATATTCTTTGAAAGTTCTGCTCTTCTAAAGAGGTTCAAAAGATTTGAAACAGTCACTTCTGAACTAAAATGTTGTTTGAAACTCTAGAGAAAAAGAAAATCCATGAGCAAATTTTTACATGCTTCAAATGCATACAGTGGTTGTTAATTAAATTAATTTAATATAATTAAATAAAAAACTAATCATAAGGAACTTTTAGCCCACCTCACTATCATTAAAAAACTTTGAGAGCAATTTCTCAAACATGGCATACATGAGCCAACTGGCCATGATCTCAAGAAATTTATTATTGGTAAAAACTCACAAAGCGCTTTTCATTTTAGGGGGAAAAAAGCACTTTTCTGTACATATGTGGAATATACATGTGAACAATATTTAAGTACATATATTCACACACATACACACAAAACAGCTGTGCAGCTGAGTTACGTTCATGGGTTTTCTCCAACCACGCTTACGATTGTGCTTCCGGGGGCATAAAACTAGAGCTGAGGAATAACCCCCAGACACAGTCCTGCCCAGGCCTCCCTGGTGGCACCAGAGGTTAAGAGTCAGCACTACGAAGCCCCCGCAGCACAAGCTCCATCTCCGGCCAGGGAGGGACCCCCGGGCGCAGCAGTGTGCTGGATCTGCTTGTTCTGCTCCCCACTCTCTGGTGAATCATGTCCACCCCTCCCCCACTTCTGGTCTGTACCCCAGTTCTTGTATGCATAACTGTATCTTTGGGGAAAAAATGCCTGCAGACTGAGAAGGGCAAGAAAACACTGACAAACATAATGTGCACTTCAACAAACTCACTCACCTCAAAAGCACTGATAGCTGACAAAACAACATCTATATTGTCATCACCTAATCGCGTTAAAACAGCTTCCTTTATGAAAGACTCATCAATACTCTCCTGTGCAAAAGAGAACAAAATTAATTGGCAACACAGGCTCTATCCCAGATATGAATCGCAACATCCCAAGAATACTTGCTCTGAACGAGTCTCTAGAACAGTTAAGATGCCTAATTGTTCGGTACTTTTTTCCCTAGTTTCCAGTGAAAATGTAAGAACATACATATAACCCAAAGGTAACCTTAGTACCTTAGTGTTGAGGCGCTCAACCTGTCCACATGAGCACGTGGGCTCGGGTGCGCGCCGGCCAGCGGGCAGCACGTGCAGGCTCACTGGTGCTCTGCCGCTCAGCAGCTGCGACCCAGAGCAAACTGCGCCACACGTCCAAGCCTCACTAGCCTGTTTTCCAAAAAAAGGGCCAAGAACACTGACCTCGCCTACCTCAAAAGGTTGTTAAGGGAGTAAATAACAACGGTCAGTGCCTGGAGCACTGTCTTCACATACCAAGTAGTGCTAGAGACTGTTATATCCAGTTATTGCAAGGGCAAGGCCATGTGCTGAGAGGTCAATCGGTTCAGAGTAAAGAGGAAATAAAGCACGTAATCGTTCACGACAGGCAACAAGACCGCTGCCCGCACCTGGCTCTGCCTCAGCAGGAGGGGGGGAAACAACTGACGACAGCAGGGAAGGAAGGAGCTCTCTGCGCCGAGACAAAACGAAATGCCTGAGCTCATGAAGCTGATGACCTGTTTCATGAGTCAGTCATCACCAAAATGCTGCCAAGATTTAACAAGTGGCCGAATCAGTCACTGTCAATTTCTAGACTAGAACCTAAATCCTGCCACTGGTGGAGAATGAATGTAGAAGAAAGCTAACTGCAAACAGGCAGGTTTGTGAGCGGAAAGATGTATGCAATGTCCTGTACCGAGAGCCCAGGGGAAGGGGGATGTAAGGGCCTGGGCAAAGGACCCCAAGGCCTCGCTAGTGGCTCCAGCATAGTGACCAGTATCTGAGGAGGTGAGACCCTTTTGTCCTAAATCATGTGCAGCGTGGGACAACAAGAATTACCTCAATATAAAAGCCAAAAATTTGAAAAAATGCAAATAGCTGATTTCCTAATGTGGCTAATAAGACTTCTATGTTTCTAGAACATTTAATTAACTGTGTGTGTGTATCATTTAAGTCACTGGGCTGTGTCTTCTTTTGTGTTATGTATCGTTCTGCATGGATAAATGTTTTTTATTTTCCAGAGATATTCGTCCTCTTGGTAGTTTGTATTTTACACTCTTCGTCATATTCTAAATTCAATTTAAAAAAAAAAAAAAGAAGGAAGATAATTGTTTCAGGGCTATTAGCCTTGGAATTTCTCTTTTTATTCAAGTCTATTGTCTTCCTATTATAAGAACAATAATCCAAGTCTTGAGGCTATGTAAACAGTCTACCTAAAAGAAACTAAAGAAAAATGACAAGGAAATACTATCAGCTATAGACTAACATATCAAAATTGGGATGGAAACTGCCTGGAAGACTGAAGTTTGGAAAATAATGTCCTCTTTGAATCACTGTATCCTTTCGGTACTAAGGCACAGCTACAAGCAAGTCAAGCCTCTGTACTTACCGTGGGGCCACCCAAGGCCTAAGCACCATCTGATTTTCCCAAACATGCTTACGTTAAAATTGATTAACTTAAAATCCGATTAAAGTCAAATCTCAAAACTGAAGGATTCTGATTACTCTGTAAATTGCTCTATAAATTCCCGCGTGAAAGCACACTGAACTGCAGCTCACCCCTTAATCCGCGATGTGGGAACACTGCTGTCAGGGTCTCTTGAGGAGAACGGTGACTCTGAGAATGCACAACGCTAAATCTCTGCCCAAGTTACTGTCACCTCCTTTGCTCAGCTGATTCTACAGTGGCAGTATGTCAATTCTACATATTTCTTATTCTAGAACTGCACAGTTCAGTGTAAAGATAGAAATACCACAAATGAAAGCCGTCTGACACAAACCTTCGAGGTCTTCATGATGGTTTTCAGATGATTGATGGCCAGAAGTCGCACAGGAGCAAGGGGATGATTCAGACTGAGCATCAAGGAGGTGTCAGAATCTGCTAAAAACTACAGGAGTCACCACAGTTACCAAACAATGTCATTATTAAGTCTGAGTAGTGTTTGAGATCAAGAATAAAAATCAGAGAAAACTACTTCAGACTGCCCAGCCTATTCAACAAACATCATCTCCAAACCCAAAATGTAAAGCAAAATCTGTATTTACAAAACCTAACACACAATAGATAAAAAAAAAACACTACTGTTAGTGCGATTTCAAGTTACCTGTGTCTATAATGCAGGTTTAATTTAGTGAAGTGACTCTAGGGAAGTGTGGACTATACTTTCCCCACTTAACACACTTTACTGAGTTATGATGACAACTGTATTTAATGCTCATGAGACCATCACCATAGCCTATGCCACAAGCATATCCATCATCTCCAAACCCATGACCGCCCTCTTTTATATTATTACTGCGAAGTTCTGTGATAAGAACACTTTGGCTAAGGTCCACAGTAAGCCCTCCGGATACAACGCAGTATTTTCACTGCAGCCGTGTTGCTGGATGGTAAACTCCCAGGCCTCCCCTGCATCAGTGAAGCTCAGCATGCAGGGCAAACATGTCCCGTTTCAATGCCCCCCCGCCCCAGTCTTTGGTAACTACTATGCTAAGCTCAACTGCTGTGAGTCTGACTTATTTATTCACATTATTTTTAAGACTTATTAACCTGTCAATTACTGCATAGCTACAGAAGTTGGGCGTAGATTTTCATTTTGTACGTGCACTCGTTCACCCACCTTCTATCAAAACTCCTGTGCCAACACCTCTCCAAATAACCACACCAATATATACCCAACTGCCATGTTCTACTGAGAAAGCCTTACCTGATACTTCCCTCCACTTGTAGAAAGAGAGATAAACTGGTGAAAAATCTCTTGTTTTTTCAGATCTGCAATTTCCTGTAGGCGTTCTTCTAGGACAACATCCAAAGTCCTGGGGTACCTGGGAAGAATGATGTATGACCCTCAATAAGGTCACTAGCCACACACTGCGCATGCATGCACGTCATACATTTTAAATTACTAACAAAGCTTTAAAATTTTAACAAATTTTAGTGAAAAATCACATGCTGTCACTAAGTTTGTCACTGTGACTTCTCCTTTCAGAGCCCTCACAGAAAGAACCGCACCCATGGGCAACCCTCACTCCCTTCAAAGTTTAATCTGTGCACCCCTCCCTGAGCAGGGAAGGGGCAAGGCCAGTCTTGGCAGTCCCGTGTTAGGCTGTAGCCTGTGAAGAATCTCTTTGTAAGCAAACAGCGCTCATTTTAAGTAAGGTCACAACACAGAACTTACTTGCTTTCCAAAAGTCTGATGAGTGGAAGAAACTGCTCGTTAAGCACAGACACCCGACTAGGATCCATTTCTTCCCGTGACCTACATGAAATGTACTCTTCAAAGAGAAGGCTGCAAAAAAGACAGACGTGAAGGTCACTAGTCAGCGAGGATTTGGCATCCCAGGTCTTAGGCGCTTTAGAAATTTACCTCCAACTGTCATACCCGTCAGCACAGCAAGTTCAATTATTTTACAACCATAAAAACTAGAAGTCTCATAAGCTGTCAGAGGTCAAACAGAACAGACCTTGAGCTAGCATCTAATGAGCCCCTCTGTCACGCAGAAAGTCAAGCCCGACTGTAACCCTTGGTGTAATTCCAGAGGAAAATCTCAACAGCACGTCATGTGAACACTCTCATTGAAGTCACAAACCAACTCAGGGAGCAAGGACAGGCATGCTCAGCAGCCTGCAGGGACCCACTCAAGGCTAAGCACAGCAGCAGAACCAGACAGCACTGCAGCTTCCAGAACTTGCTACACTACTCTCGCAAAAGAGAAGCAAGCCTACGTCTGAATGCAGTGTCTCCTCACCGAATGAAGTTGCCTGCCAGGTAATAAAATGGGAGGCTGAGTTATCTTTACGGAAAAGGAAGAGACTGTCTTACTTCACACTAACTCTCTATTACATTAACATTTAGTGAATACCAACTGGGATTTACTATTTCAGGCCTTTTGGCTTATTTATTAATAAAAAAGTTCTAAACAACTATTATCTGCATATAGCTATAACCCAAATTTAGTCTAAATAAACTTTCCATGATTATGTATAAGTACTAAAATTAAAAGCAAGCCAAATTATTTGATTATTCTGTTTTCACAATTATTGGACTAAGTACCTGTAATCAATGAATTAACAGACAGCAAAAATACAAAGAGATACTGAATACTGCTAACCGGTCCTGAAAATTATAGTGAGCCATAAATTTACAAATCAAAATCATGTCAAAAACAACAGCTTAGGGGCCTCCCTGGTAGCACAAGGGTTAAAGTCTCAGCACTATCAGCTGGCTAGCACCAGCCACTGCAGCGCAAGTTCGATCCCCAGCCAGGGCGCTAACTCACACGGCACAGCAGACCTCTCCTATCTGGTCCACTCCTCCTTTCAATGGTATATTTCCATAGATTTACCTGTTCTGCTCCCCACTCTAATCCTGCACCTCTAATCCCCCACACCTCTGGCCTACACCCCAGCTCCTATATGCATAAATAAAAAATAAACATAACAGCTTACCTAGCCAACATATGGTCTAAGTTGTTCTTCAGTGATATATTAGTCAGTATAGCTTGTAAGTGTCTCCTGCAGATCTGGCCATCCATCCCCTCAGTTTCTTCTCCTAATACACAACATATTAAATTGACTGGGGGATTTATTTTCACATGCTTACCCTATCAAACTTTACAGCCGAAGCCCTTTGTATAGGAATAACTGTAAGATATACACTGATACACCAATATCGAGCTCTTGGCTTATTTTCCAAATGGTATTCCTTTCTTCAGTCACTTACATAGTGCAAAGCCTATTTGTATACATTACCTTTGATCATCCTTTGCCTGTATTCTCTGTATCATTTAAGAAATTACGCTTGAGTACAAAAGCAGTTGTTGTGCAGGTCGCATTATATGTGACAAAGTCGGGAAATGACTCCCGATCTCAGTAAAGTGTCCTGAAGACAGGCTCAGTTTTTACCTCAGTACCTACTTTCTGGACCGAAAGCTGTCATTTCTGCAATTACTGCAAAGGTATGAATTAGTTTTAGCAGTAGCTCTGGGACCACCATCAGAAAAGGCAGAACAGCCTTTCTCTTATGCTAGTCATATTATCGAAATTTGGCTAAGCAAACCTTATTTGCTACTTAGTGGTAAGATTTTGGAGATTTTATTTAGTAACAGCTGGACCAAGTATGTATTTCTTCTTTGCCTTTCTGTATTTATTAATGAGCTAAAAAAAAAAAAAACCATAATGCAAAAAAAAAAAAAAATCACTTTCAAATTCTGCCATTTTGTATTTGTAATCTTAAGCCTGAGATTTTCTTGGTCTTATTTTTATTTTTTTAACAATTCAAGGGAAAAACTGATGTATTATAAATAAATCCCTTGAGTTTACTGAATATCTACATAGGAAGTGAAAGTTGTAATTGGTAACATCTTTAATGTTTAAAAACAGTTCGAGTCTCTTTTTTAAGGAGAGTTGGAGGACACAGACTTCAAAAAAGTTACGAGCTTCACGTTAATCAACAAGGATTCTTCAGCAACCAGCCCGCGCCCCACCCCAAGCGCCTCACACAGTAGGAAAATGGACAAAGGACACAAGAAATGGTCCGCAACAGTTTCAACTCTCGAAGACACACCACGGGAACCGCTCCTGTGGAGGAGCGCGAAACCGCAGCCAGTCTCTGCGTGAGTGGGAGCCACTTACCCGCCGCATGCCTGGCGATGGAGAGGACCAGCTGCGGGAGCAAGTAGCGCAGGAGCGCGCTGACGTCGTAGGTCTCAGAGAGGCCGCAAAGCATCTCAATGAGGCCAGGGACGGTACACAGGTGGGGGAAGGGCCTGGAAGAATCAGAGGGCAACTTGGTGGTCAGAGTGAACGCCAATTTTCAGGAGTATAAAACTGATCACATAAGGGTGTTACGCAAGATCACTTAGCTCTACTTAGCACTTCTCAACTCAACTACCTACTTCTGCCCAAGGCGCTCTGGCTTCTGTCGCTGCAGGAGCACTATTAAACAACCCAATCCATCCTTGATCAAAGCAGGAATTTTGGTCAACGTCTTGATGAGTTGTGAAGCCAGCGAATTAACAAAGGTGTCTTCCATGGTCACTTTCACAGAAATCTGACATATTATCATGTATGTTGCAGCTCTGTAATCTGGCAAAGATGACTTCAATCCCTAGATTTTTTTTTAAAATAAGGAAAAATGAGAAATTCAATTATTTTATTCTAGCATTCTTAAAATATGAATTTACTACAAATTAGAAATGCCCTAAATTAGAGATTAGTAAGACCAATGAATCGACCATACCTCACAAGAGTAAAATCAAAATGCTGAACTCTTTTCCAGAGTGGATACAGAGACGAGACAAAGCTCTTAATAGAGAAAAGGAGCGCTGAGCTTTCCCAACTCAGACACCCAAGACACACCCTAGTGGATGCTGCCTCTTTTCTATGCAAACTCATAACCAGTGTAAGGGACTGCGCAGAAATACAACCGTGTCCACTCAAGGCAGCAACATCAGAACACTGGTGAAGAAGCAAAGCAGCACCTTCCCGGACAACACAGTGAGGTGGTAGGTAGGCAGCCAGACAAGTGGAGAGAAGACCACTGGAAAAGATCAGTCAGTGCGAAGGAACAAGACAGCCGACACAAGACTTTCCAACCCACTCCTGTTCTGGAAGGGAAACAGCTGCTAAGAAAGCGGACGTGGTGAAGTGGGAGGTTAGCCCGCCGACACTCATCGCTGAGTGCTCCCAATCACGATGCTAGTCTGGTAGGCTAAGACAGGAGAAGTCATGTCTTTTTAGTAAAAGTTAAATGTCAGCAACCACCCGAAATAGTTAACTTTAAAGAATTTATGTCTAAGTGAAACTTCAAAGCATCTACTGGGCACGCGAGCAGGGCCAACCTTCTGGATGTACGGGAGCAGCTTGGCGACCACGCTGTCCGAGATGTCCTCTGCAGCCACCAGAGCAGACACGATGGTGGAGGCGTAAAACGTCAAGAGCACCCTTAGCCGGGCGGAACTCCCAGGGCACTCGGCAAATACCTGGCACAGAAACACACGATGTTCAGAGTAAAAGGCCAACCAGATCTTAGTGCTAACAAGCACAGCTCAACTACTGTAGGCTGACGTTTTGGTTTTTACATACGCAACTTTAACACACACACACAATCAATGTAAGATAACAACAAGGCATTTAAAAATTATCTCTGTTTAAAGTCAATTAAAAAGAATTTTGCAAGACAAAGTTTCTGCAGACAGGCACTTTTAATGACGTAAATCTCATCAAACTGCCTTTGCTTCAGAAGGGATCATTCAACAAACGGACTTCGTCAAAGCACTGCTGTTAGCAGGGAAGGCCTTTTGGTTTTTTCAATTCAGAGCCAGCAATCTTACAAAGGAATTTTATGTTCTCACCTTCACAGACTTTGTCACCAGACTACAAATGAAATCCATGAATCCAAGATCCTTGTAGCAGTGGGTAATTAAAGTTCCTTTAGCTAAGGGCACGCCAGATTGCTGTTATAGATAATATCAGATGTTAATAAAGAGATTCACCAACTGGTCATCATTTCTACGTTAACTACCACAGTCACAGTTTTATGAGGGGCAGTCCACAAACACAAAATATCGTGTCTCCATAGAACTGGGGGTGGAGATGAGATTAAGGCACAAGTTACGCAAACTACAGAAACCCAAGGATTCAGCAACAAAGGGTGGAGGAAGTCTCTGAAAGGCCTCCTTATGTGCACTATGTATCCGCCAATCAGAATTCTCGTTTCTCAGTGGGTGCGCTGGTACATGCACTTTATGGGTCAATGTGGTGCGCTGTGTCGGCCAGACATGCAGCCAGGGGTCCTGCCAGTCCCATCACTGAGCACTGGGCAAGGCCCGACTGGGTGCTACAATAAATCAAAAACGACGACGAACTGAACTTCACTGTGTGAGTGTTGTTTGGACACCTTAGGAAATAAATGTGCAAGAGGGCAGCAAGGCCGTGTATAAACTAGGAAAGAAGGGGACCCTGATGTTTTTAGCGAAGTAAATGTTGAGGAGCTGGATAAGCTGTGCCACAGGCTGATTGTCTCTGTAAGCAATTCTGGCCTCTGGCCTCAGGGGCCGTGTGAACACGGGCAACGCCACAGACCCACGTCTACGAGGTTACTTCGTGGCCTCTGCCCTCCTCCACATCTGAGTCATGTCTGTGTCCAAAAACATCCTGCCAACGACACACATGAGCTTTCTGCTCTTCTATGTTGCAAATAAAATGATGACAACAAGTCAGCTGCTTCACTACCAGCCAGCGCTACCTCATCTGAGCCAGTTAGCTGTGGGTAGTAAGACAGCCATCTTCTCATTCATCTGTAAATTAGTTTCCAGCACCTTCTTTGCAACTTAAGTATCCACTGTAGCCCTTCAACTTACTTTCTGCATATCCCCAATCATTTTTATTCTCATGAGTTCCAAAATTTAAAATGCAGCCAGCACAGTAAAAAAACATTAGTTTTAGAATCAGATGTGGAAGCAAGTCCCAATTTTGCCACTTTACGGCTATGTAAACTGCGGTAAGGAACTTATTTCTCTGAGTCTATCCTCCTCTGTAAACTCAGAACTCGAGAGACAGATGTGGTGTGTTGCGTATGTCGTCACACACGCACAGACACACACACCTGCCTCGGCTGACCTCAGGCACTACAGGGAAAACAGCTGCCCATCAGTTGGAAGCTGAGGTGACAAACGTGACGGCAGTTATATCTGCATGCCCGCAGCAGCAGCACTAACACGCTGTTATTTCCAGATCACAGCCCTCAACACTCAGTACCACACCTTAACCGGCAGCAGCCAGGACCATCTGTGATGTGAGTCGCTAATCTGTAGAAGCTGTATCGCCCGCACGAACACTTTCGTCTCGTGGTACGGCAGGACACATCCGATGAGGCTGTCTTGATTATAAAGGTGAATGTGGAACCTGAGGGAAGCAAACCACTCGCACTGACACAAAACTTACAGGCACCGACTTCCTGACCGGCAGGACTGAAATCAGCCCTGAGACGGGGAACAGCGCCAGAACCCCACGGGACTCCAGTCTGGTTTCCAGCTTTCCCCTGTGTCCGAATCGTTTAGCGCCTAAGTACTTAGCTCACAGCTGTCCACTACCTGTGAATCAACCACTCCAGGCACTTCTGGGCCGGCTTCAGCAGGAAATAGGGAGACAAGTGGATGAGGAAGAGAGAAATGTTCTCGTCCAGCTGCCTGTTGACCGCCTTGGTCTGCACACTGCGCTCCAAGCCTTTCGCCAGCTGGCTGAACAGCGACGCTTCGAAGCGCTCCAAGGCAGGGTCGATTGCGAGCAGCTCCTCCAGGCCGGTGCGCCCTAGGGAAGGGGCAATTTGCGGAAGAAGCCGCCGTCGGGGGCCCGCACAGGCGTCCTCTGGCAGAGAATCGCGGGCACCGACCAGGAGAGGAGGCAGCGCCCTAGCTGCTCGGCCTCTGC